ACTTGATTTAAAAAAAATGAAAGGGTATGTAGTAAACTACTATAAACAAAGGCAAACATTCTGCCTGCTTGTGGTACCAGGAGCAAGCTGCAAGAGGACCCATCCTCTGGCCTGAAGGCTGGTGTCAATACCCACAGCCACCAAGTATTATTCCCTCAACTTTGGGCTCTTGGAGAAGGATGGTGTCCCCACTGTTTCAGGTTGGGATGTGTAGACCTCTGTATGGTCTGGGACACAGCTCATCACCTCTCTGATCAGTGCCACAGGCCCTACACTGAAGACCTCAGCAGAGGGAAGCTTCTTAAGAGCAGGGCCTGGCTAGAGAGATAGGGGCCAACACAGAGCCCAGGAATCTGAAGGGTAGCTGTTTAGAGCACTTCTGCTTCTTGTCTCCCTCCCTTGTACACTGAAACAGGATCCTTGAGGTTGAACAAAGTCTAAATCTTTGAGGTCCTCATGATGCTCTGGGAGTTCAAATCACAGACAGTATATAAAGAGCTCCTTCATGCCAATAAGAAAAACAAATGACAAGAAAATATTGCCACAGATAGTTCAAAGAAAAAGGCTCTTAAACATATGAAACGATGCTCCCCTAATAATCCCTCTTGGGAAGGCTGCTGAGTCAGCACTGCTGGTTAAAAAGTCCACCTTCTACCCACAGTTGCATTTCCCCAGTTATCTCAAGGACCCACATTCACTCGGTGATCACTTCTCGCCATCAAGTGTTCACAAAGAAATTCAGCAAGAGAGTAGAGGGCTCATGCTCACTCACCTCCTCTGACCCCAATATCTAGATGAAATGAGAGTAAAAAATGTAAAAGAAAAAAAAAGGAATAAATTTAAAATAGTGCTGAGGTCAGGAGAGGATGTGGCAGACACTGGTATTGGTTATGTCCACATCTGATCTAAGACCTCTTCCACATTTTCTTTTTAATAGAGGCAGAATTTTCCCAGCCTCCACTGCAACAGGGGTGCCCGAGTGGTTTAATGGTGCCTGTGAGGTTGGGCTAACTTATGGGGAAGGTCTTCCATTGCTGATGACAGGGGTGGATGTTGCTGGTACCAGCTTCCCCCTCTTCTTCTTTCTTGAACTTGGACATGAAAGTCAGCCCCCTTTTGACTATGAGGAAAAGGTCAGGAGAATCACAGAGATGTAGGCTACCACATTTCCCCATATAACTTGTTTTGGAGGAGAGAAAAAACATTATTTCATCTACCATAAGATGAGTTATCATTTACCTGCAGCTGAAGGCATCTGTCATGGATATCAGGGACTATGAACAGATCAGCAATTTTAGGCAGTATATAGAAGGTAGAAAGCAGAGTCACTGACAGGTGACTCTGGCAGGGAAATGACAGGTTCTCCAGGGCAAAGCCTCAATGGAGTGTCCTACAAGGAGTTGGTAAGAACAACCAGCAGAAGGAGGGGAAATGGAGAAGAAATCATGGCCATCTGCTCCTTCTATCTGTACTACTATGGCCCAGGGCACTTGCCTTCAGGCTGAGACAGAGAACTGCTATGGTGAACTTTGGTTGGTGTTTCAGGCTAAGACTGCCAGAGTGGGAGCTGGGTCACAGAGTGAAGCCCCACAACCTGGCCACGAGGGGGCTGGCTGGGCAGGTGCCTGCCTGTCTTCGTTCTAAGCAGGTGGCCTGTCAGCCTGCCCTGGAGGTGAGGTGTGCTGGGGAAACAGCTCTGCGCTTGCAAAGCAAACCTGAGCCAGCTACCAAACAGGGTCCCTCATCTGTAACTACAACCTAACAATCAAGGATCCCCAAATGATAGGAGAAAATGTTCAAAAGTAAAGACAACAATGAACAAATCAAAGCCTAAACCCAGAAAAGGCAGATAATTCATGGATCAAGTAAAGATGTTCTGGTCAGCATGTGCAGCTGACAGCTGAGATGATATTACAGGCTTTTCCTTCTAGTAACAAACCAGGCAATTCAGAACCTTCCCCACTGAGAACAGGGAAAAAAACTGGACAAATAGAAGCAGACCTCAGAGAACTATTGCGTTAGTGACAAAAGACTGAGCCGTGCTGTGGGGAAGGCAGAAATCCAGACAGGGATGCCTTTGCTTTGGAAAGATTTATCCATGAGGAAGATCCTAAGCAGAGCTTCTATTTGACTTGAGAGTCTAGGGGGACCAAAGCAGGGGTGAGGGCCCAAGAAAAGTGGGGTCCCTGCTAACTCACCCCTCCTTTGTGCTGGTACTTCAAAGGTATGCAACCTAGAATAAGAGTAAACTGGAGGTAAACCAGCCCCTGTACCAACTAGTGCCCAGCTTTGAGTCCCAGGTAGCCCAGAAAACCTCAGTCCCTGGACTGGAACAAGGTATCTCTGCAGTGCTGGTGCCTCAAGAAGCTGGCAGTGGCAAACAGAAGTGTTCTCTGGAAGAAGATAACAGCACCTTAGGCCTTAAACTATTTCTACAAAGAAGTTTTCAAATATCATATCCAGCAGACAGTATGGTCCAAATAACTAGAACATAAGGAGATAAGATATGAGGCTGGGCAAGGTGCCTCATGCCTGAAATCCTAGCACTCTGGGAGGCCAAGACAGGAGGATTGCTTGAGGTCAGGAGTTTGAGACCAGCTTGAGCAAGAGCAAGACCCCATCTCTACAAAAAATAGAAAAATTAGCCGGGTTTGATGGTGAGCCTGTAATCCCAGCTACTTGGGAGGCTGAGGCAGAAGGATCACTTGAGCCCAGGAGTTTGAGGTTGCAGTGAGCTATGATGACACTACTGCATGCTAGCCTGGATGACAGAGCAAGACTGTCTCAAAAAAAAAAAAAAAAAAGAAGAAGAAGAAGACAATATAAATGAGAACCAGCAGAAACATTTACAAACAATGAAAATGGATCTGCAAAGAACCCCAATACTAGAACTATCAGACATAAAACTTTAAAATAAAACAAATAAGCTTACTATGCCCAAATAGATAAAAGACTAAATTAAAAATCTGACAGAGAATTTAAAGTATAAAAAAAGATACTGCAGTTTTGTTTTTGGTTTTTTTTTTTTTTAGATAAGGTCTTGTTCTGTAGCCTGGGCTAGAGTGCAGTGGCATCATCATAGCTCACAGCAACCTCAAACCCCTGGCCTCAAGTGATCCTGCTGCCTCAGCCTCCTCAGTAGCTGGGACTATAGGTACATACCACCATGCTCAGCTAATTTTTCTTTTTTTTTGTAGAGACAGAGTCTCACTGTGTTGCCCAGGCTGGTCTTGTACTCCTGGCCTCAAGCAATCATCTTGCCTTGGTCTCCCAAAGTGCTGGGAATACAGACATGAGCCATTCATTGCACCTGGCTGATACTGTGGGTTTTAAAAAAAGAGGATATATTTCTCAGATGATGGGGCAAATGAAAGGGAAGACATAGTTTAAAAAGAGAACAAAGGAAAATCACTGATCTCTGTCTCTGTTTTCATAGAATGAATGACAGACACGACTTAGTGCTTAGTGTTTTTTCAAAACACCAAGATAGGATTCCCAAAGTACTTACAAAGCAATGGAAATTGTATTTATGTCAGGCTTTTAAGCAACACTGGATGCTAAAAGTCTATAAAGGATACCTTCAAAGATCTAAAGGGAATTGATTTTGAAACTAGGATTCCATTACCCAATGAACTTAAGATATACTGCAACAAAATTTAAAAACAGAATAAAAAACGTAGGACACTGTACATACCAAGGCCTTCAAGGCCTGTGAAAACTGACCCTCTGGCCTTTCTGATTTCTACTCCTTTCACCTTTCCATCCCACAATGCTTGGCTGTCCCTTTACACGCCAAGCTCTCCCACCTCAGGGCCTTTGCACCTGCTGCTCCCTCTGCCTGGATGTTCTTACCCACATCTTTACTGGTCTCTGTCAGTGAGTTAGTTAGGCCTTTCCTGAACACCGATTATGAAACAGCACCTTGTCAATATTCTGCATCCCCCTCTTCTCAATTTTCTTCCACAGGTACTTGCTCACCTGTTCAGTCTGCCTCTCTCTACAAGATGCAGACCCATGAAGGCGGAAACTCAGTCCGCCTTGTTCCCTCTGCCTGCCCTGTGCCTAGAACACGCCCAGACCGAACAGGTACCCATCAGTGACTGCTGGGCAACCACACAAAGCTGCGAGCCAGCTCCTCCTTCCCTGACTCAGCCACTGGCCAGAGCCAGCCAAAGGCGTCTGCAGGCGACCACACGTTCATCAAGCTCTTTCCTTCCACACCCAACCACGCACCAAGTCTTGTTGGTTCTGCCTCCAAAGCACATCTGGAATCTGACTCCTTTCCCTATCCATGTTCACCACACTGATCCAAGTCACCTTCATCTCTTCCTGGGACTGCTGTAGAAGATGTGCCCTGACCGGCTTTCTATCTGGGTTCATGACACCTCTTTCAGCAGCTCCTGCTGCCCAGGAGGAAATTTCAGCTCCTCACAAGGTCTCCCACAGGCACCTCCTGCTTGTCCCTCCACCTCACCTCACATCACTCTCTTCTTTTGCCTCAGATGTGCCAGCCACAGTGGCCTCCAACGGACTATTCCTCTCTGCTTTTACTATCACCTAAGTATCTGCAGGGCTGGCTTACACTTCTCTCCCGAGGTCTTTTTTCCCAGACACTCTTGTCTCACCACCCCTGCCAGTCTTAAAAGTATCCTACTGACCTAAGTGCCTCCATGCTCCTGTGTGCCTCCCTACCAGACTGTGAGCTCCAGGAAGGCAGGGAAGTCGCTTTTGTCTTCACAACCAAACTCAGAGCCCCTGCAGGCAGCCTCTCTTGGCATGGGCACGTGGCACACTGCTCCCAGGCTCCTGATGCCCAGGGCCCAGCTCCAGCCAGGTTGTGGAGGGCTGTCATGTTGCCCTCTCAATGACGATGGACCCAAGGCAGGGTGCTGGAGAAATCTAACAGTGAAGCATTTCAAATCACTTTGGCTTATTTTTAAAACCTCTACCTTCACGTTTTAAGAGAGAATTCTTGCAGCAAGAAGGAAAGAAGCACCTACCACTACTGTTGACTCCCACTGGCTTCCAGTGGAGTAGTGAACCGGACCCAGTAAGTCCTTGCATATTTCTCGGAGTCGGTATTCAAACCCTAATTATAGGGGGAAAAAAAACAAACAAAACAGAACAGAAATAGGAATACATTATAAAAAGAAATAAAAAAATCAAGAATATGCTAAGTTTTTGTGTATATTAAAACAGAATGAATGCTTATTTTTTTGCCTTCTATGGGCAAAATGCTCCTGCATGTCTTTCAATCAGATTCTCACTCATTCGCCCACTCCCCTGATGACACATGCAGCACCCTGTCTTGTGCTGGGCCCAAAGGAGAAATGAGATGTGGCCAGTTCTGTGATGAACCCCCAGAGGTGATGGGAAAACGTGGGAAACTGAGGCAGGAGGGGAGTGGGCTGATGAGATCTGCCTGAGAGAGGACAGGCTGGCAGCTGGTATGAGAGGTGGTCAGGAGGGTCGGGAGGCCAGTCCGCAAGAGGTGAGAGGTACTGAGCAGGGAGCGGCCCCTGCAGGGAGGGGCGTGGCCCGACAACTCAAGGTTACAGGCACTGCCAGGTGGGGCTGCCAGAAAACCTAGAAGCAGAGTCTGGGGGGTTTGTCAGCTCTTGTGGGCAGCTGAAACCGTAAAGAATGGATGAAATCGCCCAAAGAAAAGGATGGAGAATAAGAGGGATGAAACTGGAATCTGAGGAATTCTGGAAGTGCATGACATTGCGCTTTAACACTTGATTTCTCCTCTTATGGTTGAGGAAACAAGGGTCAGGGTTGGGGGAGGGTTGTGTATGACTGATGTGTGGACATCAGAACAGACATGGAAGATGGAGAAAGGGAAGCAAGTAGTAGAAAGATCCCACAGGTGGGTGGCGGGCTGGACAGAAGGCAGGGACACTGCACAGGCACCACAGTGAGTCCTGATCAACACCCCGATGAAGCAAAACAGAGTGGAGTAAGAGGAGGGGTTGGGGGGGCAGGGGGCGTGGCCTAAGATGTGACTAGAATACTGTGGGAAAGGCATGAGGGCTTGGGAAGGCTGAGTGTTCAGAAAAGCTGGGGCCTACATACCCTGGGCAACCACACAGACCTAGTGGGAAGAGGAAACATCAGATTCATCACTGGAGTTTGCCAGGGAGGGAGGGAGGGCTTCAAGTTGATCAGCAGTGTTTGTTGTCATGACAAGTGTATACACAGAGTCAGAGGCACATGGGACATATTAGTTCTGGGATCTGGGAATTACATTTACACGGGTTTGATATGTTTTTCTCTGTCTTTTCTGTACTTATTTTTTTCTCTCAATTATAATCAAAACGGGGAGGGTGATGACAAAAGCAAAGCAAAAGGCCAGGAGTGCCATGGAGGAGGTGTTCCATGACCAGGCTGGGCTGCATGGTGATGCAGGGAGAACTTTGGGAAGCCCATCGCATGTCCTTGCCCCTGGAGGTCAAGTTCAAGTGGGAGACAGCCTGGTAAGGCAGGAATAGGGAAGAGAGTACAGGGAAGAGACAGTACAGTCTCTTCCAGTACAGGGAAGAGAGGCTATTGGAGGTCACTCTGAGGTCAGTACAGCCACCTCTTCTAACACACATGCTCCCTGCAGGGGAGGCCATGAAGGGGCATATGTGCTGTAAGAGCCTTGGCAGGGAGTATGGGGGCTGGGGGACCAGGGGAGGCACTGGGCAGCAGGCAAGACTTTCCACACAAGAGGGGTTTAGAGGAAGAGAATGCTACCATAAAACGTCTACCCTTCCCACTACCAGTCCTCCTACTCCCCGGCAGGAACATCCTCAGGCTCTCTCTATTCAGGGACCTGGAGCCTGTAGGGGGCTGGGAGCATGCTGAGCTAATTGCAGCTCATGCTGGGAGGCAGGCTGTGAGTCTCACCTTACTGATGGGAGCAGGAGGGGCGCCTAGGGCCAATCATGTACCCATGAGGAATTTGTGAGAGTGCAGGGAACCCTGGACCACTGCACCTCTTCTCTGATTCATAGGGACTGAGCCGGGTATGGGAGGGTGGAGGGGCAGAAGACAGCTGCTCAGGGCTGCCAGGAACCTCACCTTCATTCACAAGGTACCGTGCGTAGAGGAGGAGCCAATGGCGGTACTCGTGGCTAGACTGCAGGGTGAGTGCTGCTGCGACCTGGTTCTCTAGGTAGGCCAGGGTGGTCTCCTGCTGCACCACATGAGGCACGGAGAAGAGCCGGGCAGCCTGCCTTCCCGAGCTGCAAAGACCCGTAGAGCACAAACTATGAGGGAGTGGGTACTGCCCAGAGGTGGGAGCTGCCTCCATGGGCCCCAGGTGAGGCACTGGCAGGTGGCAGGTACAAGGGCTGCCAAGGCCTCCCTCCCACCAGCTGGTCTACTAGCAGATGCCACTGACTCCTTGTTGGCCTACCTGTCCCACATCACAGCCATGGGCCCCCCCAGGAGTATCTCACCCTATACTTGCCATCTGGTCTGCTTAAGTGAACACCCCCACCCCAAGATATTACCTGATGCAAGTCCACATCTCTTGCACCCCCAGCCTGCACCACCCAGCCTGACTGTGCTGAGCAGCACTTGGGACACAGACAACTGGAGACCAGGCTAGGGTAGGACTGTGCTTGCACCAACCCAGTCACTTCCTGGGGCAGCACTGTGGATGATGGCCATGGCACTTAGGTCACGTACTTGGAAGTGCGGCCCTGGATTATGGCTAAGGGTCCTGAGCACAGCATAGCGTCCTGGGATGGCAGGCTGCTCCTAAAGTCTGCACACAGCGCCAGTGAGTCCTGCTTGTCAGAAACCAGGTTCCTGGGGAGGCAAAGGCAGGAGTAGAGCTCAGGGAAGCAGGAAGCCACAGAGTAAGTAGCAAGTCTCAGCAATATGCGGGCAGAAAGCCAGCAATGGCTATGTGCTCCTGAACTTCAGAACAGGTGCTTATCACTGACAGCCTTCCTAGTGATGGGCCTGGCAAGTTATTGTTCCCAAGAAAAAATGAGTGACAGTGAAGGTCACTGACAGGGCTCTTGCTACAAACACTTCAGCTCCATGGGCTTGGCTCCTGATGACTGTGGGGACCTCTGCGTGTTGTGTATCCCAGTCCCCGGCTCCAACATTGCTATGGCCTGCCCAGGGTCCCACGAGGCCCAGGCCTTGACAGCTGCCGAGAACACCAGGCCTCAGCCTGCCTGTGCTTCCACAATGACCCCAGGCAGGCAGTTCTCCTGCCTTCTCTAGATCCTTCACCTCTTTGTTAAGAAAACATTCTTCATAAACTTAGAACAGCCAGGAGCCTTTGTAAATGTCTCCAAAATACGAACACATGTATGAGAGTCAAGATCTCTCTTTGTAAGTAATTGGCCTATTTCCATTACTACAATCCCCAGCATTATACAATTTGGAATAGCAGCTGGTGGAGAATTTTTTTTTTAACTCAAGAAAAGAAATTTTAGTGTGAGTATAAACTTGTACTCGGCAACTCTTAACAAAAAAGGGGCTAGGAGGCAGCAAGCTTTGGTTCTTAAAGACCAAAGGTGTAGGCAGAAGAAAAAAGAATTTCTTAGAGCGCTATGACACAATTTATATACTTCATGTGTCTGGGCTAAGATTTCTGATGTATAAAGGAATTTTACAAGTACAGAAAAGGGTTCTAGATTCCAAAGTGGGCAGAGAAAAAGCATGGCTCCGGCACCTGGGCGAGTGAGTGCACACCCTTACTACTTCTCTAAGGACGTCTCAAGTGCTATTGTGGTCCTACTAAGCTCACAGAAACTGACTAGTGCTGGCAAGGCTACCGTGGAGCTGATTCGCCTTCACAGACGATGGCTAAGAAGGCCAGTCTGGAAACACGTATCTGGAACCATAAAAATTTTCAAATCCCTTTTCCAAAAAAAGTGGCCCCAATAAAAAATGCAGGAGGAGGACAGCACTCCTGCACACATGCTCTGAGGGCAGGGGCCAGGAGCTGCAGTATCCCACAGGACGGGGGAGCAGGCACTGGTTGTTGTTGTGGCCTGCACTCCAGGGCCTGACCCTCAGGGCTTGGCTTTGTTGTCCAGAACAGACATTCTCTCCTGGGGAATGGCTTGCTTACCATGTTGAGAGTGACGGATTGAAGCAGTACGCCTTTCCATCAGACAGGTTCATTACTGGGATTCCATGCTGCGTCAGCAAGATCTGTGACACTGTCATATCACTTCCTGGGGGACACCACAGGAATGAGTTCTGGGTGTGTTCTCATCAGCAAGTGTTTGCACACACAGCAAAGGAGAAATCTGAATCATGGCTCCCATGGTCTCAGCAGCAAGCACCTCCCGAGCAACTAGAGAGACAGTGGGTCTCACACTGCTACCCACCAAGAGCTCTTGGTCACTTCTTGGGGACCCATTCAAACATGCCTTCAGAAAGCATGCGTCTCCCTGCAGCATAACTGCACCCCCACCTCACAGAGAGCCCAGGGCTTGTGCCCTCTAGGCGGAAGGGGCCCTTCCGCAACATCAGCCCCAGGATCCAGGCCCCAGGGGAAGAGGGGCGGCCCATGGCCTGGGTTACCTGCCAAGATGGAGTGTAGAGACTCTTCTTTCACCACAACCACCTGCCTGTGAACATCCCTAGGAGGGACACAGGGAATAGCTTACTCCCTAACCAAGGTAAACATGTCAGAGTGTGCCTTGGCCACCCAGACACTCATCCAGTCCCTTCCCAGGCCCCAGCCCTGGCCTCTCCTAGTGAGAGGGGTCTGGACAACAAGTGGCTTCTGCTCTCCACAAGCCACTACTCTCCCTCTACAGAAGTCCACAGCGCAGGCCCCAGGCAGCAGAGCTATAGGGGTTACCCATGATGCCCACACCCACTCTGGGAGAAGCTGGGCCACAGCAGCTACACCAGGAGATGGCCACACTGCCAGCAGAGACCCCACTTCTGATGACCCCACACGGGACCCTGGCATGTGCACAGAGGCAGTGCAACTGGTTATGTGGGCTTCTCCTGTAAGGGCAACTGGGGCCCAGGCAGGCTGCCTACCTCCCTCTCACACACCCTCAGCCCTCAGCCCACATGAGGTGGCAACACAAACACTATCACTGACTGCTCGGTGCCTCCTCCACTGCCTTCCCTGCCCCTGTAGCAAGGGACCTGCACAGCCCTGTCCTACCCTGCCCAGAGCCCATCCCACCCTGTGCCTGCCTCTCACCAGACGGACAGTGTGGCTGCAGCAGTGAGTGCCATGACGTAGGAGCCTGTACAATGCAAAGTAGAGATCGGGGACGGCAGAAGGATGGGAGGAAGGAGGCGGCGACCACTGGTGGAAAACACTGACAGCATCCTTTTTTCACAGGCGACACATACCACGTCACTGAGTAGGCACAGGAGGGACAGGTGTCACAGGGGCTGGGCTCTACTGAGGCAGTAGCCCTGGAGGATGCCAGAGCCTTCCCTCTGCCTGGGCCTTCCTCTGGTGCAGGTACGGCCAGAGGGAGAGGCAGAGAGGGCTGCAGTGAGGATAGACTTCTGTCCTTCTCCCAGTCACAGGGCTACTCATGCTCTGCTGAGCTCATGCTGATGCTGACTGTGGGGGGCAGGGACCTTGGAGGGCCCCTGCACCTGACAGTCACCCAAGAAGCATGCCCCACTCGTCGGTGGCTACACAGTGCCCATGCCAGTCTCCTGGAATGATGAGCCAAACCAGTCCTGAGAAGGCCTGTGATGAGGCAGGCTGGGAGAAGTGTGGGGACACTGGCTGTGTGCTCAGGAGGCTGGCTAGCTGGGGTGGGAGAGGCATGTCACTTCCAAGCAAGCAGGGCCCCAAAGGAGAACTCACGTCTGGACATCGTCCAGTGTCTCTTCTGAGAGACTGGGTGAGGCACCCTACCTAGTGAGGCCCCTGAAGCCCAGCCACAGGCCCAGGGTTGGGCCAGAGTTCAGACCCTAGGCAACAGCACAGGTGTGCAGCCACACAATGAGATCCTGGCCACAGGATCACCTGGAGCCCTCCCGTGTGCCACTTCTATCCTGCTGAGCCAGTGGCCTCAGTGGGCTCACAGGAAGAAGTTCAGGTAAGGAAAGAATTCTACCAACTGCCTTCCCAATGAGACACTGTTGTCACTGGCCTCTGAAAACAGAGAGGCAAGTGAGACGCTTTTGTTTACAAACGTCTGTTTGGAGAGTATGAATCAGAAAACTCTGAGTAGGATCCAGCAGCAGAGAGTCCCTTGTAGTGCTGTGATTGAATTCTATCTGCTCGGCCGGGCGCGGTGGCTCACGCCTGTAATCCTAGCTCTCTGGGAGGCCGAGGCGGGCGGATTGCTCGAGGTCAGGAGTTCGAAACCAGCCTGAGCAAGAGCGAGACCCCGTCTCTACTATAAATAGAAAGAAATTAATTGGCCAACTAATATATACAAAAAATGAGCCGGGCATGGTGGCACATGCCTGTAGTCCCAGCTACTTGGGAGGCTGAGGCAGGAGGATTGCTTGAGCCAGGAGTTTGAGGTTGCTGTAAGCTAGGCTGACGCCACGGCACTCACTCTAGCCTGGGCAACAAAGCAAGACTCTGTCTCAAAAAAAAAAAAAAGAAAAGAAAAGAAAAGAAAAGAAAAATGAAAAAAATGAATTCTATCTGCTCATCTCTGATGGTCAGAGCCTTCCTCAAGCCAGCGCACTGCAGAGGGAGCCATTGCTCTGGGGTTGCAGGACTGGGGAGCATGGGCAGACTGCGTAGGAGGGGAGGTCCCAGGTTGCACGGCAGGCCTCCCCAACAGCTGCTGCGTTGCTACAGAGAGGCTGTGCTGAGAGCCCTTACCCCTCAGCTGGGCCACGCCACCTCCCTTGGGGCCAGGGAAGCACAGGCACCTGAGACTGGGAGCCCAGCCTGCTCCCTCCCAAGGGAGAGTGTGGAGGATGAACAGAATGCTGGGGTCCTCCTAGGCCACTACCATCAACTCACTCAGAACCCAAGGCAATCCTGACCTAAGATTTCAGATCTAAGGCCACAGACATGTATGAAAGCACTTACATGAGACCTCATGGCAGATGATTCCAGGTCTAATTAAAATGACTGTATCTGAGCAATCATCTTGGTAAAACCCTGGTATGGGTATCTATCACTTGGTCCTTCCTGGGCCCATGCCTGGAGGGCATCTGAGGAAAACGCTGGTGCTCTTTCCAGACCACGTGCAGGCAGGAACAGAGCTCACGTACATCCCAGGAGCCCATTGGAAGGCACCAGATCAAGCTCTCTCCCCAAAGTGTGGAATCTGGAGAGGGCTGAGCTGGGGACATGCGGGACACTCAGAAATCCATCCTGACCACCTTGGATGAAAATCTCGGATCCAAAGGAAGAACCAGCCCTGAGCAACCCCCACATCAAAGAGAGCCAGGAAGACCTCAGCCTGGAACTGAGCCTTTGGGGATCTGACCAGACAAGGGAGTTGGACCACCAGGCTCAAAGCCTGGCTTGGGTGACCCTTAGGGATAATGATGTCAACTTTGTTGGGTGTTGGAGGTGACAAATGTGCATGCTTGGTGGTGGTAGCCTCCATGGGAATGGGCACTTGAGGGGCTGTGCACCTCCCCTGAGACAGGTACATTCCAGGACAGCAGTACGTGGTGCCTGCTTGACATGACAAGCCGGGCAGGGCTAGGCCCTGCTGCCCTTACCAGCTACCAGCTGCAGTGAGGATCCGGCTGGTGAGCACCGTCTCCCACTCCTTCCCCTCCCGGTTGCACTTCAGGCGGCTCAGCTTTACGCCCCCCACAGCCGTCACTTCATTCTCCACCTCAATGTACATGGAGGGATCCGAGCTCACCTATATGGAGGAAGCAAACACATGTCTTTTGAGGTGACAGTGGGCCTGGAGCAGGTGAGATGCCGAGAGGCTCTGCAGCCCTGGGCCCTGAGGCAGGGGAGGACACAGTGAGGAGAGGTCCAGTGGCAGGGCTGAACAGGAAGTCCAAAGGGCCAGATGTGTGGTCCCCAGGTTAGGGAGAGCACTGGGAGTCGGTTTCTAGCCTGTCATCTATGTGGCTGAACAGTCAGAGAAGAGAATCAGTATCAGAGCTAGAGACCCCAAAGTCTCCCATTCCTACCACCTCCTCACACAGGGAGTAACTTGCCCTAAAGCACACCATGAGTTGGGGCTACTGCCCTCCAGGGACAGAGCTGGGACTGAGACCTGGGTTTCTGACCCTCCACCTAAGGAATCTTCAAAGACTATAGTGCTTGGTAAAAACAGAGCCCTGATGGTGCTTGGAGACAAAGTCTAAGAACCCATGTGGCAGTGAGCCTTGGTCTGTTCGACGGAGACCAACCTGGCGGGAGTGTCCCCAGTATCATATGCACAAGGAGAAGCTAGTGCCTGGCACTGAATGGGCTCAGCCGATGCATGCCAGGGGAGCTGACCAACACATTTTTCCTACGGAAAGCCAGGCAGAGCTGCTGAACTGCCTGCACTCATGTGACCACATGTGGGTGAGTGGAGCCGAGGGCTGCCTGCTGCTGGATCCTGGTCCCCAGAAACCAAGGACAGCTGCACGTAGCACTGAGCGATGAAAACACCCAGGGCAAGGGCTGGAAGATTGTGGGAAGGGGGTTTGGTGCCAAAGGCCAAGAAACAGGGCATCAGGGAGGGAGTTTGCAGGGGGCACCTGTGAGTTTAAGAGCACGTCTGAATGCTGCCAACTGCTGGTGGTGCCCCTGCCTCCACCCACATTAGCAGTAAGAACCAACCCTGGGGGTCCCTACCCCTTGGCTTCATTCCTTACATCATAGCCCAGAAGAGCCTGTGGCTGGGAAGGGCTAACATCTGCTCCCTGGCACCTTGCTCAGCCTGTGCCCAGAGCACTGTGGCCAGTGGGAACTGATGTGTACACAGGGATCACGAATGTGCCTGAGCTGAGGTGCAGAGTATGTAGAGAGGCAACCACGTGTGCAAGAGCTCCATGCTGAGGGAGGCCTGCACACTAGTGATGGGCTGAGTGACCAGAGGGCCTCTGGCTATAAAGGATTGCTAGCTCCAGAGCTGTGTTTTGAATAAGTGCAGGGTTATGCATGGTCACAAGCTTCTATTCCATGAGCTCGAACAGCTCTGATGATGACTGTTGGCACTGAGGAGGAGACAAGGCAAGCAGGATGGTCAGGAGACAGACCATGACCTCACAGTCCAATAGGCACTAAGCCTGAAGTTGCCCAGGGCCAAGTGTGGAGATGGAGGAGGCTTCCAGAAGGGTCACCTGAGATGAGTCTTGAGAAGCTGGCTATCCAGAAGATGTGGTGGTAAGGTCAGCCCTGGCAGTTGGGACTGAAAGAACAAAGCCAGAGGGAGGCTCGTAGATGAGGGAGAGGAGGCTAGCAACCTTGCTGAGACTTGGTGGACACACTGATCGGCTACGGTGCCCCCTAGGTGTTGGAGGACCACTGAAAACCAGTTACTAAGGCAGTGACAAGACAGCATTTACAAGGGGTGGGGAGGGAATGTTTGTACGCGCCTGAGGGAGTCGGTGGGTATCCAGCACTCACCTGGAGGGTGAAAGCTCTCTGGGGGCCTGGAACTGGCAGTTTCAGTGCAAGTGCTGGTGCAGACAGACACATGGCCTCCTTCTCTGCGGTGAGGGTAGCTGGAGACTGGAATAGCCAGAAATACCCCTTAGCCCCTGAGCTACTACTGGGGTAACTTTAGATAAAGGCAAGTTACCCAGAGATCAGGTGGGCCTGTGAAAGGGCATTTCTGTCTACTCTGTGATGGAGAAAGGACAGGGGCATGTGACAACAGTCCCCGTTTTATAGACGTGGTGGCTGACACCAAGAACTGCTCAAGGACTCTGGGAGTGTCAAGGGCAGGTCTAAGGGGAGTCTGTCTAAGCCAGCTGGTTCCCAAGGTACCCCACATTGCTGAGGCACCCCATGCATGCAGGGCCTCCCAGCACTGAACACAGGGATGCGGTGGGGAAGGCTGGGTGGATCAGGTGGCCTCACCTGGACAGATAGAGCCACAGGCATGAGACGGGCGTCCTTCCGAGGGCGCCCTTTCTTCTTCTTCTCTACTGTCTCCACCTCGAGCTCAAGTTTTCTCTTAGACAGCGAGGAAGGCTTGGCCAAAGGGACCTTTTCGTCGCTGTCACTGCTGGTCTCCAGGAGGTCCCGGGGCCTCAGCTCTTTCACAAGGTTCTGTTCTTTTAACCTGCACCAAAACATCGCATCACCCTTCCCTTCAGAAACTACACAGGCAAGCAAAGTGTGAAGTGAAATATTTAAAGTGTTTTAAAAAAACCCCACCAACCTAGAATTTGGTATCCATTGAAATCATGCCTCAAAAGTGAAGGAGAAATAAAGACGTTCTCAGACAAAAACAAACAAACAAACAAAACACCTGAGGGAACCTGTTGCCAGAATACCTGCCTTGCAAGAAATGTTAAAAGTTTTTCAGAGAGAAGGAAATGATGCAGGTCAGAAACTCCTATCTGCATGAAGAAAGGAACAGTATTAGAAAAAAGAATAAATGAACATAAAATAACACCTTTTATTTTTCCTATTCTCAATCTAAAAGGTAACTTTCTATTCAACCTGTAAGAGTAACTGTGTCTTGGATGACTGTCACTTGTGAATAGGGCAATGAATGGCAGCAACGCTACAGGGCAAAGAAGGGAGGAACGGCAGCGCTCTGTGGTGAGGCACCTGCGCTACCCATGCAGCGCTACAATATCATCTGAAAGTGGGCTCAGACTAGTTGTAAATGGTCACTGCAAACTTTAGAGCAACCACTAAAAATTTTTTTTAAAAAGAAGTATAATTAATAATGCTAAGAAAGGAAAGAAAATGGAATCAAATAAAATGCTCAATTAAAACCAGAGAAGGCAGTAAAAGAAGGAAAGATGAAAAATAAAGAATAGTGCAATGAATAGAAATAGTTAAAAATATGGTAGATATTCATACAATTAGGTCATTATTTCATTTTAAATGTGAAAACTCTAAATACATCAGTTAAAGACAGAGACTGACAGACTGGATTATAAAAGATGTTTTAGGCCAGGTGCAGAGGCTCACACCTATGATCCCAGTGCTTGGGGAGGCCGAAGTAGGAGGATTGCTTGAGGCCAGGAGTTCAAGACCAACCTGGGCAACACAGTAAGACTCTATCCCTACGAAAAAATTTAAAACTTAGCCAGGCACAGTGGTGTGCACCTGTAGTCCTAGCTACTCAGGAGGCTGACGCTTGAGCCCAGGATTTTGAGGTTGCAGTAAACTATGATCACACCAGTGTACTCACAGCCTGGGTGATAGAGCGAGACCCTGTCTCTAAAAAAAAAGTTTTAAAAATGGGTTTATTTTTAAAAATATAATATAAGACAAAGATAGATTGAAAGTAGTTGAGTGCGGTGGCATGTGCCTATAGTCCCAGTTACTTGGGAGGCTGAGGTAGGAGGACTGCTTGAGCTAAGGAGTTTAAGTCTAGCCTGGGCAACATATTAATAGCAAGACCTTGATTTTTTTTTTTTTTTGAGACAGAGTTTCACTCTGCTGCCGGGCTAGAGTGCTGTGGCATCAGCTAAGTTCACAGCAACCTCAAACCCCTGGGCTCAGGTGATCCTCCTGCCTCAGGCTCCCAGGTAGCTGGGACTATAGGCATGCGCCACCATGCCTGGCTAATTTTTTTTTCCTATATATTTTTAGTTGTCCAATTAATTTCTTTCTATTTTTTGTAGAGACAGGGTCTCGCTCTTGCTCTGGCTGGTTTCAAACTCCTGACCTTGAGTGATCTGCCTGCCTCGCCCTCCCAGAGTGCCAGGATTACAGGCTTGAGCCACCACGCCCGGCCAAACCTTGATTCTTAAAAAATAAATAAATAAGCAAGGCATGATGGCTTATGCCTATTATCCCACCACTTTGGGGGACTGAGGTGGGAGGATGACTTGAGCCCAGGAGTATCATAGCAAGATCCTGTCTCTACAAAAAAAAAAAAAAAAAAAAACCCAAACAAACAAACAAAAACTCCTCCCCCACAAAAAAATCCAGCTGGGCATGGCGATGTGCACCTACTATCCCAGCTATTTGGGAGGCTGAGGCAGGAGGACTGACAGAGCCCAGAAGTTTGAGGCTGCAGTGAGCTTCGATCACACCGCTGCACTGCAGCTAGGCGAGAGAACAAGACCCCATCTCTAAGAAAGCCCACAAAAATACAACAGAATGCTACTGTATACTTAATGGACCACAGTATAGTGTAAACATTAACTTTTATATGCTGGGAAACCAAAAATATGTGTTTCACTTGCTTTACTTTTGATATCAACTTTACTGCATTATTTACTTCATTGTGGTAGTCCGGAACCGAACCTGTAATATCTCAGAGGCACTCCAGTATATCTAACAGGATGTCAAAAGATATGTTGCAAAAACTGATAGACTACAAAGAGAACCAGACAAATCTGGTATTATTGTTAGAACTTCAACATTCTTCTAACAGAAACTGACAGATCCAGCAGATGGAAAATCGATATGGACATAGTTAATGGAACAATGTCATCAATGTCTTGGATTTAATTGACATTTATAAAAATACTTTGCAACAATAGCAGAACACATATTCTTTTCAAGCTCGCAAAGAACATTCATCAATACAGAATACTTTCTGGGCTATAAAGCATACTTTGCATATACTAACAAATTTAACTGAATAGAAATCATACTAAGTATGCTCTCAGACCACAATGGAATTAAAGTAGATATCACTAACAGAAAGATAACTGAAAAACCTCTAAATATTTAGAGATTAGTAATATACCATGAGCCCTCTGTATCCACAAGTTCTGCATCCACGGATTCAACCAATCACAGATTGAAAATAAAGTACCTGTGGAATGCGGAAGTGTGGATGAGGAGGGCTGACTTTTCACATCCACAGGTTCCACACAGCCAACTGTGAGACTTGAGCATCCATGGATTTTGTTATTCCAGGGGGACCTAGGAACCAATCCCCCAGGGATACTGAGGGACGACTATACTTCCAATAACACATGGGTCAAAGAAAAAGTCTCAAGAGAAATTAAAAAATATTTTGAATTAAAGGAAAATAAAAACACAAGTTGTCAAAATTTGTGGAATACAGCGAAAGCAGTGCTTACAGGCACTAAACGCAGGCATTAGAAAAGACAACCTGAAATTGATAATCTAAACTTCATCCTTAGGAACTAAAAAAATACATAAGCAATATATATTTAAAGCGAGCAGAAGAAAAGAAATAACAAAAATCAGAGCAGAAATCAAGGAAATTGAAAACAGGAAAATAACGAAGAAAAATCAATGAAATAAAAAGCTAGGTCTTTGGAAAGATCAGTACTAATATCAGAAATGAAAGAGAGGCCCTCACTACCGATCCCATGGGTAATAAATGCATCATAAAGGAATATTATCAATATCTCTATGTCCACACATTTGATAACTTAGGTGAAATGAACCAGTTCCTTGAAAGAAACAATCTACCAAAACTCACACAAGGAAAAATAGATAATCTCAATAGGCCTGTATTTGTTAATGAAATTGAATCAACAATTAATAACCTTTATTTTCTTTTTCAAAAGGAAAGCATCAGGCCCAAAGAGTTTTACTGGTGAAGTCTACCAAACATTTAAGGAAGAAATTGTATCAAATTTCTATAATCTCTTACACAACATATAAGCAGAGGGAATAATTCCTAACTCCTATGAGGCCAGCATTACCCTAATACCAAAAACAGATAAAGATATAACAAGAAAGAAAAAACTACAGATTAATTTCTCATAAACATAGATGCAAAAATTATTAACAAAACATTAGAAAATTGAATTCAACAATGTATAAGAAGAATTATGCTTCACAACCAAATGGGATTTTTTATTCTAGGCATGAATACTGACCCAACATTTGAAAGCCAATTAATGTAATCTATCATATTCAACAAGGTTAACAGAGAAAAACTTCATAATTAAAAAATTACATAATTACCAGTAGACAAAATTACATTTTATAAAATCCAACACCCATTCATGATGACAACTCTCAGGAAACTAGGAATAGTAAGGAATTTCTTCAGTTTGATAAAGACTACCAAAATCCTATAGCTAACATCATACTTAATGGTGAGAAACTAGAAGATTTTCTCTTAGGATTGAGAGGAAGGACGTCCCTTCTTATTAATCCTATTCAATACTGTACTGAAGTCCTAGCTAATTAATAAAATATCTTAAGAAGGAAAGAAAAGGTATAAAGATTGGGAAGGAAGAAAAAACTGACTTTGTCCACAAACAACATTGTTTTTGTAGAAAATATCCAAGAATGAACAACAACAAAAAAAACCTGGCATGAATAAAATTATAGCAAGGTTGTAGGATATAATGTTAACATATAAAAGTCAATTGCTTTTCTATATATCAGCAATTAACAATTAGAATTTGGGCTTTTCTTCATGCTTGGTTCTTTAATTACTAATTCAAACTCTTTACTTGTTTTAAGTTAATTCAGATAGTTGATTTCTTCTTGAGTCAGTTGGTAGTTTATGCCTTTCTAGGAATTTGTCCATTTCAATTAAGTTTTCTAGTTTATTGCTATACAATGAAATAGCATACCTTCAAAATCCTTTCTATAAAGTTGACAGTAAAGTCCCCTTTTCATTTCTGATTGTATTTATTTATATACTAATCTTTTATTTTAGAGATAGCATCTCTGTTGTTCAGGTTGGAGTGCAGTGGGTGACGTGATCATAACTCACTGCAGCCTCAAACTCCTGGGCTCAAGTGATCCTCCTGCCTCAGCCTCCTGAGGAGCTGGGACTACAGGCGTACGCCATCATACCTGGTTAATTTTTTAAATTTTTGGTAGAGACGGGGTCTCACTATGTTGCCAAGGCTGGTCTCAAACCTCTGGCCTCAACTGATCTTCCCACTTTGGCCTCCTAAAGCATTGAAATTACAGGTGAGAGCCCCCTTGTTCAGCCACTAATCATACTTTCATACAACTTTATGTCCTGCTTTTTTCAAATAACACTCCATCTGAACTACTTGTCCATAGTACAGTCCCTGGTCCTGTGGGGGTGTGGGTCCAGGACCCCTTATAGATATCAGAACCTGAGGATGCTCAAGTTCCTTATATAAAATGCAGTACTTGTAAATAACCTGTACACATCCTCCTGTATACTCTACATCACTTGTA